ATTTCTGTGAAAATAAGTACAGATAATTAAAAATTGTTACAGATATTTTCACAGCTCAGTGACCACATTCAAAATTTTGTTAAATGGAAATCAAGGAAATGTCCGTTTAAAAAGAATCCTGAAGTAGTCAATTATCTGCTATTAACTCCGACGTTGATGGAAAAAAGTAGGGCTATTTTAATCTGCTGAAAAGAAGTTTTATAATCATTTCATATAACTTTCCTGGTCAGTCATGGAAAGGTAACCAAGCACAACAGATACCAAAAAGTGGACTTCCCGAGTTTTCCACTTCTGTAAATTGAATAAAATCCACTAACTTTTACAAATTAACATCTTAACCGTTTTCAGCAAATTTTCTACTTATTTCCCTTATCTAAATTATTTTCCAGTGATTCCCTTTTCAATCTTCCAAGTGTATTTGAAGTCAGACAGCACTAATTTTGTTATGACAAACTGTGTGTAGCCATTGCTTCATTTTCTTATCGACTTCTCCACAAACATCTAATAGACTGTATTATTACTATAAGTTTTCTTTGCAGGTTTGATGAAATTCTCCTATGATTGTGAGAGTGCTGATCAAACTGAAGAAAAGGAACAGTATAAAAAGCTGAAATGAATAGATCGAGAAATTTTCAACGTTTGCTGTAACAAATGCAGCTGAAAACGCTTTCGTTGGTGACGATTTACAAAAACTGGTGAAGTGATAAATATAAAAAACTGACGATTGTTAAACAATATTTACTGTGCAGAGTTTTTTTCAAATTATGCAGGAAAAAATAATCGAAACAAAAAGATTTTGTTATCAGCAAAATAGACGAAAATAACAAATGTTTTCTCGTAAATAGAGAAGAAAATATTGCCAGCAAAGCATTTTCTATTTTTGTTGAAAAATACAGTTGTCTAAACTTTTCCATATTATGAAGAGAAAATAAGGAGAAAAAATTGTTTAAAAAACGTTTATTGTTGTAAAACTATTGAAACTGTGTCTATATACCATACTCTACCCGTTGTATTTAACCGTCAAGATGGGGCTAAATCTCATTTGATTGCAATACGAAGAATAAAAAAAAAAAAAGAGAAGGCAGAATTATTTTTTATATATACTTCAGATATTTCCTCTATCTTATTTCTTTATTTTACGGAGCTTTCATATTATTTACTTAATTGTTTTAATCTCTTTTTTAATTTTAATTGATCTCTATGCCTGTGATTGTAGTTTTCAGATATATGCTGCAATTATCCCCTGTAAATTACTTTCGCTTATTACCAAGCAGTATTGTCTAATGACATAATAATAATAGTATTTCAAGATCGATGTTCAAGCGTAAACTTTACCTTCAATATTAACTAATTTTTTCTTTGTGTGTCTGACACACAGTAAACATTTTCACCTTACATTTTCAAAGATTTCAAATTTGTATACCAACGATTAAAATAAAGTAAAATTGGTAACCTCTTTCTAAACTACTTTATTCTGAAATTTTGTACGATGGCTCTAAATGAATTTTTTCCTTTTTGAATTACCGAAAACCTGTTTGTTAAATGGGCTCATTTTGGATCCTGAATAAAAGGAAAAAAAGTTGATGAAAAAAACTGAGCTCAACTGCCTCAACAATTATGACAACTGGAAGAGCAATTTATTAATCCAAATTACCCAAACAGTCAACAAAACTACATTCACTAAACCAATCTCCTGGGGTAAACAAAATAGACCAAAGTTCTGAGTTCGAGAAGCAGTTCCCACTTCAAACCAAAAATAAATTGCCCTCGTCCCTATGTTAATAAAATGTGCTATCAACAAGCTATTTTAGGTTTCAGTTACTTATTACCGGTCCCGAGAAGCCATTAGTAGCCAATCCGGAACTGCATTTTAACCACTGTTCTTGACAGAGACCTCTAAATATTTTTGACCAAAAAGCTATAAAATATTTATTCTGATCTCAATAATCCCTTCCGCAAACCGTAATGCCACTACAAACATTTCATGATCTTATCAGCCAGATAAAACTGGTAAAAGACCACTACAAACATAAATTTTCTGAAGTCTACGAAGTTTTAAAATAAAACGGACGCACTTTACAAACATCACAGTAATAATGAAATGATTGTATAACACAAAGTACAAAGGTTTGAGCAGACATAAAGCATAAAAGTCATAAAAGCTGCTTGCACTTATAGCCGAAAGAAGTGAGAAACCCAGCCCTAAGCAAAAATCACAATAACTGAGCTAGAACATCCGACTAAACATTAGTGTAACTTCATAATTAAAGAATCTCTCGTTGACTACCAATACCCACTCCTAGCTGAGACTAGTGCTTCCATCTAACAACGGTGCAGAATAGACGTGAAGTAGCTGAGAAATCATTTTCCCCCTCCCGTTCCGCAAGTATAAAACAAGCAATTTAAAGTTTTCCCAATATCACAAGCATAAAATAGAATAACGAGCATATAAGCAAGCAACCAAAGAGTTTATTGAATACACATTCAGATACACAAATGAGAGTCATCGAGACAGTAAAAGCTAAAATTTTCTGCCATCGCGAGAAAAAAATGGTAGTACCTCAACATCAAATAAACCACTGGCTGAACGGTGCTTTGATGTTAAATCAATAACCAACCCATACCCCAAATAGTTACCTTATACAGTAGAATATTTTACACACTGTCCTCTCAATATCCACCAATACCATTCCTTCCAGTGCGCAAAGTCGTATCATTCGTTATCAAGAATAATCTAACTCTCCTCTTGAAAAAATCTGTAGTACGTGCATTTGGCTTATCATCTGTCGAAATCCCTTGAGTTACCCGTTATAAAATGATTAGATCACCGCCTGATGCAGCATTTAATATTTAAGCCGACTACGTTCCATTACACATGCAAGACCCTGGGCTCAACATAAAAGAGAAGTCAAAATCCGTATTTCTGAGCAGCCATCCTTTTTGCGTGCCGATTTTGGGACCACTGCTCTGCAAGTTGTTCCTCTCGAGCCACTGCCTAAAATAAGTCTTTCCTACTTAAGAACTCCTAATATATTCAACAAAAGAGGAGTATCAAGAAAGTTCCAAAGTCGTTTTATAAAAGTTATAAATGTTCGAAGCATTTTCGAAGCTACGAAATTTACAAGTACCAGAATCAAGGCAATTCAGATTCAAAATTAATTACGAACCACAGTAGCGAGATAAGTGATTTGGTGTTTCCGGCGGGCAACGACATCTTTCGAATTTTTTGGTCTTGGTAACTTAGCCAAATGAGCTATCGATGCCTCTGCTAAAGACTTATTATGCAGGTTCTTTAGTAGATTAGCCCTCACATTCGGACCCAAAGCCTTGAAAAAAAAAAAA